CTCCTCCTCCTCCATCACTCACTTCCTGATACATATTAAGACAAAAAAACACCAACCCAGTTTACAGTTTACTTTTTTTTCTTGAGCTATGCTTGAAAATGAAAACCCAAGTTGAAGATATAGATTTTTTTCGAACTGGGTTTAAGTGATGGATACTCCTGACATACTTAGAATATATGATATTGGTTTTGTTTTCTGCTCCTATGGTTTAAGAGATCTTGCAGATTTTTATGGAGAGAGAGAGGGAGGGGCGGCAAGCAGTGGGAGTGGGGAAATTGGGTTGGGTTGGGGTGGGAGGGAGGTGGTTATGGCGTCTTTTGTTTTTTGTCTTTCTAAAATTTTATTCTAAATGTAAATAATGAATTTTAAATACAGCTTGAAAAAAAAAATCAAATTTATTTAAAAATAATTGACACATGGCGTATTTTGAGTGGAAGTATCACCAGCTGACGTGGTGATACGGTACTATTCTATAATTTCTCATGATAGAGGCCTCAACCCATCAACCGTACCGAACTTTCAGTAGAGCAAAGGAGGGTATAGTTTAAATTATTTTTATTCTTATGTCCGTAAAATCTAATTTAATTATACTCAAATTTTTATATTTATTAAAGTTTAAATTGAATACATCTAACTTTTATACTTAATTAATTACTAGCGCATGTGCTAATTGGTTTTCTTTTTTCTTTTTTCTTTTCTTTTTAGAATTAAGAAAAAATAACGTGGGTAGTTATATTCCATAAAAGTAGTACCTATTATCTGATTTTGTTTTCATTTTTATTTTTATTTTTTTTAATATGAAAATGTAAATTTACCATATTATCCTCATTTGATTAATAATTTCAATTCTTAATATTTGAATTAACCAAGGGAATTTTCTGGTATTTTGAATGTTTCACCATTCTCTGTCTTTTGCTTTATATATACAGATAATTAAGATGGTATACACATGGATGGCACATCAGTTAGGTGTCACAACATGGGACTATTTCAAATTCTCTTCTCTGTCCCTTTGTCGGGCCCCACATAAACGAAACTAAGTAATAATTTTCCCTAGAAACAGACAAAAACAGTCCCAGAACAGAACTAGATTATATAACACTCAGTCCAATACGATTCTCAATCTCTCATCCAAAATTCAACAAAGAATTTAGTCCAGAGGTAGCAGACTGTCTAAAGTTATATAGTGGGTAGCGGCTCTCCAGTTCTTCAGGACGAGAACAAATTTTGGGTTTTCCAAGTCTCAAGCATAGGTATGTGTAGCTTGTATTTTTGTTTTAAGATCAGCTTATTTGATTAGCATGTCAGCATGAATGCTCATATTTTTAGTGGATCATCATGCTTTCTTTCTGATGGTTTTGTTTCAAAAATTTTGAAGCAGTTCTTAGTTGTTTTAGTGCTAATGGTGAAGTAAGTTTTTTGGATAGGAAAACATATAACTCAGTAGTTTATTTGGCAGACAAAAATTGTTTAGGATTGCAATGGAATGGATGTTCGCCAAGTATTTTAGATTCTAAGTAAATCTATTGTCCTTTGCTTGTAGTTTTCGATGTTTATATCATATCATCAAGGATGGATTGTTCGAAACTCGAAAGCTATGATTGATCAATGTTTATGTTCCCAGGATAAATGGCCTCCGAACCTGTCAATGTGAATGAGTTCCAAGAATTGGCTAGGCAAGCCCTTCCAAAAATGTACTATGATTTCTATACTGGGGGAGCTGAGGACCAGCACACGCTAAAAGAGAATGTTGCAGCATTTCGCCGAATCATGTAACTTTTAAACCTGCTGACGAATACTGTAAGATACTTATAATTGTTTGAGTGATTCCTATGTCTTTCTTACAGGTTGCGGCCTAGAGTTCTTGTAGATGTTAGTAGAATTGATATGTCAACTACTATATTGGGTTGCAAAATCTCAGCACCTATAATGATTGCTCCTACAGCTATGCATCAGTTAGCACACCCTGAAGGTCTAAATCTTCTTCCAAGAGTTCTCAGTTGAGATTGGTTTCGGACACTAATTTATACCTGCTCTTTATGTTTTATGCAGGAGAGGTTGCCACTGCTAGAGCAGCAGCTGCGTGCAACACCATAATGGTATTTTTATGAGTTATTATGACATGTATTGAGCTAATGTGTGTAGTTTGGTGTTTGAATTGTAGTGTTTTTCGTTGTAGATTTTATCGAACATGTCTACCTGCACCGTGGAGGAGGTTGCTTCCAGCTGCAATGCTGTTCGGTTCTTTCAATTATATGTATTTATTCTCTCATCATGAGCTCATTTTAGTTTTGCTAAGCCAAATTTGTTCTTTACAGCAACATTTCTTCTTGTTTCCGCTATATCCTGCCAATCGAAGCTCAAGCTATCAAATGGTACCCTTTCTTTAACAGGTTCTCAAGAGACGAGATATATCAGCTCAGATAGTTCACAGAGTTGAAAAAAATGGTTACAAGGCTATTGTCTTAACTGTTGATACTCCCAGACTTGGTCGAAGAGAGGCAGACATAAAGAATAGGTTGAGATCATCCTGCTTTTTTTTTTTTCCTTGTTTCTTGATGCTGTGCAATTTATTGCTTTTGAAGTATAATAGGACACTTACTTTTCTGTGCAAATCAAGTCGAATGTTGTCTGCATTGAACTATATATGCATCTCATTTGAAACATGATTGTGACAATTTCTGCAGAATGGTTGCACCTCAGTTGAGGAATTTTGAAGGCCTTTTATCAACTGAAGTAGACACTGTGAGTGGAATAGTTTTATTGTGAAACTTTTCATTTAAATGTGCTATGTTTCTCAGTTGTATACATGACACTTTCTCTGCAGGATGAAGGATCAAACTTGGAAGCTTTGGCCGAAGGAATCTTTGATACTTCTTTGAGCTGGGAGGTATAATTCAGTAGACTCCTCCAATTATATGGTCATATGCTTCTAGCCCATATGTTAGACACTTTTTTACTAAGGCTAATTTTTTTCTTTCCCTTTCATGGGACTACACTACACTATAAAGATGCATGCCTTATACGGATTTTGTTCCGTTGTAACTTTCTTTTGAGATTGAGGCTATAGAATACCCGTCGACGTTATATATTGAATCATATATGCAGGACATAGGATGGTTGAAATCTATTACAAACTTGCCAATTCTAATCAAGGGGGTACTCACTCATGAGAATGGTAAACATCAACTGCTCAAGGCTTATCTTTAGCTTTTGCAAATATTATTAACTCATAGAGGGAAAGCTCAATTTACGTATAAAGGAAACTAGACATTACCCCTACTGAATAGTAGTTGTTCTGCCATTTCAGCAAGAAAGGCTGTGGAAGTAGGTGTTGCTGGGATTGTCGTCTCTAATCATGGAGCCCGTCAATTGGATTATACACCTGCCACTATTTCTGTCCTGGAAGAGGTAAAACTCTGTCTCTAATTCATCATTATTCTGGTGTAACTTGTAAGGCGCAAAAAGGATGCAACTTCCACTTGCTAAGCTTTTTTAAACCCAGAATAATAGTTTGACAGAGTCGTCTTTAGAAGAAACTTTGCCATTTTTGCAATAAAAGGGAAGCTTGTTTTTTCATAATGGTTATTGCAATGCTTTTTTCTATCACAATTTCAGTTGGCAAAGCTGTAAAAATGTTCAATCATAATATATCTATAATGTTTTCAGGTGGTTCATGCTGTTGGAGGAAGAGTTCCTGTTCTTTTTGACGGAGGAGTACGGCGAGGAACAGATGTCTTCAAGGCATTAGCTCTTGGTGCACAAGCTGTCCTTGTAAGATATCCACCACACTTTTTAATCGTCTAGCATATCAATCTTCTGCTATACTCAAATGTAACCGCAGGTTGGAAGGCCTGTTGTCTATGGCCTTGCAGCAAACGGAGAACGTGGAGTGAGACGAGTCATCGAAATGCTGAAGGATGAGTTTGAGCTCACTATGGCCCTTTCTGGCTGCCCCCGTGTTAAGGATATTACCAGGAGCCATGTGACCACAGAATTTGATAAGCTACGTTCGATGCTTTAATTTTCTTCTAGAAGCATCAAAACAATATTCTGCAGAGAGATGAATGAGAACGACTGCACATTGTTATTCTTGTCTCTCATATTGTAATTCAACTTTATTAGTGATCACAACGTTAACGTATGTGATAGTGTGAGTGATAGCACTTTCATGCTGAAGTTAAATAGTCATTGAGAAATTAAATAAAATGAATATATACAACCCAATCCAGGTTTGCATCTTTGTTGGCTGAAATTTAAAAAAGAGATCTTCTATCTTTGTTGGCTGCAAGTTCTTGCATCGTTTGTCTTCAGGTTTGCATTCCATCAACTTTTTAAGAAATTAATGACTTGCTAATGGGTTGCTGAGCAAACTGTTGAATCCTTTAATTCCTTGCTCAAATTGGTTCCTAGAACGAGTCAGTGATAGGTTTAGAAGATAAGTCTTTAAGAACAATGGTTTTTGGCATATGAGAGTTTATTTTCTCTTACTGAGCAAACTGTTTTATTCTCTGTTTTAGAAACACTTGCTTTCGTCCCCCAACAAAAGCAATCAATTCATCAACTGTTGTTGGGGTTACTCTAAATTGTGTAATGATCTATTGTTGTTAATATTTGTTTTTTATTATTTTTTGTTTTTATGTTCATATGTTTTTGTACTAATTTTGTGTAATATATATTCATTTGGTGATTTCATGTTAGAGATGTTAAAAACTGTGTTAGTAGCTATTTGATGTGGTTTGCTGCCAATATATGAATATGAATGAACGTGTATGAGATAGAGAGAAAGAGAGACCAACCTAATGATGTTGATGACTGCTGGAGAGAGAGAAAAACACAGAATAGTATATGTGAAAAGTTTTTTTTTTCATTGAAATTATGATTTGGTTATGTGGTAGGATTGATTTTTGATTGAATTGATGAACTGAATATGTGTTATATTAAAGATTTGACTATGGTTATGAACCAGACATGTTCAAGATTTGGTTTTTTTTTTAAGCAAATTTATGAATTTCGCATGTATTATTTGTTAACCAAACTTCTGTAGTGTGCATTGTCTTTAATTTTTATTTACTTTCATGGCTGAATGTTAAATGACTTACTCTGTTTCATATATTAGGATTGCCCGTCTTATCATATAGTTGTGAGCCATGTCAAATTTAAGTTTATCCGTTTCCCTTTTTGTTTAAATAAGGCAATACTCACATAGTTTTTCATTGTTCATAGCTTCTTTCCCTACTCAATTTCTCTATATTAAGTGGTAGTTCATTGTGTCGAATTTGGAGACAGTTTCTTTTTCTCATGGTTGTCTTGTCTTCAACTACAATTCGATTGCAAAAAAAGTATATTAGCTCATCTTCTAAAATATGATTATTTTTCGAACATATTTTACAAAGCAATTAGGTTCATATCCTTTTGTCCAAAAGACTACCCAATATGTTTGACTTTAAAGATTCTATCCTACATTAATTTTTGTAGTCCACTCAAGTGGTATACGTATACTTCAATTCTTCCCAATTCTAATATTTAGTTGCTGCAAATTTCAGCTCATATTAAGAAACATGGCTTTTTTGGGAAGATGAGTGAAATCTGGGAAAGAATAGTGAACTATGCTGCAAATTCTACCCATTTGTGCATTTGAGAAAGATGAGTGAAATGTGGTTGCTAAATATATAAAGAATTTACGGAAAGGGTTTAAGGTCTCTACTCTTTTTGTAGCTGCATAATATAAACTTCTGTTTCCTTTTTTCTTTAAATAAGGCAATACTGCTCAACTTATTTTCATTGTTATGATCCATAGAACAAACCACACATATTTTATTGTCTTATTTTCACTAGAACTTTGTCATTTATCTACACTGACAGCTACCATTTTTCCAATTTGTAACAGAGAAGTGAAAATACCTGCACATGAGAAGAAAGAAGAAAAAAACACCTATGCAGCCAAGCCAACAAAAGAAAAATACCCTTCCTGAAGACATCGATGAAAAACCAAGAACCAGTGAAGAGTGAAGTTTGCCACCATCAGTGTATATCTGTGTATAAAACATGTTATTTATCTATCTATTGCAACAGCTGTAATAGTTTTTTAAACACTACTTCACCTACATAACATGTTACTGATCTATCTTTTGAAACTTAAACTTTCACATGTACGTAAATAATATTGTGTTTCCTATACGTTTTTACAACTTTTTACATATATTATACAGTTTTAAAACCTGCGACATCACACGGGCACCTTTGCTAGTTAAAACTAAAGTTAAAAAGTCATTAAGATTATTTTTTGCTTTCTAGTTTCTAAATTTTATTTTACAAATCAGTTTTAATCCTCTTTCTCCCTTCCTCCTTTCTTTTCAATAAATAAGCAGACAAGGAAATTTCCAATCAAGCCCGTTTCTTCTTACTGCATCAACAAATTGCGTTGGCCAAAACGAAAACAAAAACAAAAACCAAACCAAACCACTGAGATATGACAATCTGGATAAATACTAACTATTTGAGTTAACAGTAAACTTTTGTGAGTCAAATAAACATTTAACCAATTCCCAAGAACTTATATACTTATATAGCACAATGCTTCTTGATGGATCTTATTTCTCAGCGCTCTGAAGCCCAGTAAAAGCATTCACCTTTGCACCTGTCAAAGGTGACATCAAGTACTAAAGTAGTACTTCTGCCAGACATTATTGAACTATATAAATGTTGTAATGTTAATTCCTAATAATTCTACAGGTTGACTTATCTCTGAAATTCAAAGCCAGTTCCTGCCCACAACATCAGCTTTTGCTTCAACAATTCCTGAACTTGAGGGGGAGGCTTCTGAGAGGAGCAGCTGAACCATTAACTCCAGAAAACAAGCCCAAGATTTCATATTTTTACTATGCATTACCAACAGAGTTGCTCTTGTTCACACCTTGAAGGTCCATAGGAGAATTTGTGATACTACCAACTGAACCAAGCGTTTGAGAGCTCAGCTGTGGGCTTGCAGGACAAGCCTCTGGATTACCAGCACTCATGCCATGGATTGCCCCTGAGCTCATCTGCTGTGGACTCATTGGAGTTCTTTGGCTCATTTGCTGTGGGCTAGCCTGCTGCTGTTGCTGCTGGCTTTGCTGGTTTAGTTGTGAAATTCCCATCGTTGAGGGGGAGCCCACCTGCTGAGGCGAAACAACAGCCTGTAGTGGTGAAGTTGTTTCTTGTTGCTGCTGTTGCAATTGCTGCTGCTGCTGCAATTGCTGCTGTTGCTGCAACTGCTGCTGTAATTGTTGTTGCTGTAACTGTTGTTGTTGTTGCTGCTGCTGCTGCTGCTGGTGGTTCATGTATATATTCATCCCCGCCACCAGCTTTGGTGGACCCATAGGTCCCATTGCCTGTTGCATAGGACTCATGTTAGTTCGGTTTAGAGACTGACCCAACATTGAGAGACCAGCAGTTCCCTGATGCATCTGTCTGGATCCTGACATCCCAGCCATGCTTGACTGAGGGACCCCTATCATGCTGCCTCGGTTCTGTTGCATCGTAAATTTAGATGCCATGAGAGTAGCTTGTGTTAATCTTCCAGATTGAATTTGCTGGGTTAAATTGCTAATATTTGAAGCCTGGCTTAAATTCATTGGATTCTGACCCACATTTCCCATTCCAGAAATAGGTGTCATGGGTGCTGACATTCCTCCTATTCCCCTTGCAGCTCCCATGCCCATTGTGTTTCCAAGGCCTGAAAGCCCAACCATGTTATTGCCTATGCTCCCCATACCCATAGCTGTTCCAAGTCCCATCATCATTTTTCTCTGCATTTGTGGCTGCTGTTGTTGTTGTTGCTGTTGTTGCGGCTGCTGTTGTAAAAGCTGAAGTTGCAGGGTGGAAATCTTATTCACCATCTGATTACCCAACTGCATGTTGGGATTCTGTCCAATTGCAAGCATCATTGATCTCTGGAGCTGGGGATGCTGCTGCTGAATCATGGAGTGTTGGCTTTGCTGCTGCTGCGGCTGTTGTTGCTGCTGCGGCGGTTGTTGTTGTTGTTGTTGTTGTTGTTGTTGTTGTAGTTGTTGTAGTTGTTGTTGGTGCTGCTGCTGCTGCTGTTGCTGTTGCTGTTGCTGTTGCTGCTGCTGCTGCTGCTGCTGCTGCTGCTGCAGCTGAAGTGATGGTTGTGACTCCAGCTGTTGTGGACGTTGAGGCATTGAAGTTCCTGTCAAGAGCCCCTGAGACATCTGTAAGGCCTGAGGGTTTCCAGGAGGCAGCATCCTTGTGCTTGGTAGAAGATTCTGGGCCGGATTTAAGGATGAATTACCACCATTAATTGGCTTAGCAACTTCATTGGATGGCTGACCTGAAACTGATTCTGCATATTGTTGCATCTCAACTGCTGAATTATTACGAGGCAGTCCAGAAGCATTTGATTGATTTCCTGGGCCAAGATTCATGCGGGTTGGCTTTGGTTGGATGTGATCCTCTTTAAGATAACCCTCATGTTCCATCTGTATAAGAAGATAACATAAATCACAAAGGAAAAGTGTAACTTAAACTCTAAGTTAACTTCAAGACCTTCTAAACCATACCAGTGAAGAGAACTGTGCTGCAAGCAAATCCGCCAAGTGCTGTTGCAAGGAATAAGTTAAATATATACGTCAGTTCAACAGAAAACATAAGAAACGATAAATTGTGAGAGTTATCCTGACATAGATTCCAGTCAAGCTCTCTTAGACAACCAAAGCTACTAGTGACTCTTCAGAAGGTTATGTATTATCATCAGCCATATGATAACAAATTATTCTGAATGTCAAGCCAAGCTTCATGATGCAGAATGTTGAAGGACAAATACAACAAGGAGCATTTTGCAACAAATGGCAGAATTTTTTTTTAAGGAATGTAAAGAATATAAATGCAGGACATCCAAGGACCCAATAGGATGAGTTGAAAGAGTGAAAAAAATTCTGAAACAGTGATGTGAAATTGAAAACAAATAAAGAGTAAAAGAGCTAAAAACTGAGAAACCACAAAAGACGCGTACTTATGGGAATTTATATTTTGATAAAATGAATTATCAATAAGATAGAATGACGAAAAAAAATTGTTGATTGCCTCAACTGGTAGTACACTAAGTTCACTCAAACAGATGGTCACCTCAGACAGTAGAGTTTAATTTGTACAATAACACTTACAGTATTGGGCAACGTCGGAAGATAATCCTCAGCAGCCAGAAATTCAGCATCATCTATTTCGCCATAGTACATTGCTACAGTACCATCATTTGGTTTCTCTGACATGATCAATCTAGTTCGTGCCTTCAGAACATAAGAAACAGTTCCTCCTGTAGAAACAAACGTAGACTGTAAGGGGCAGAGATTCTACTAGAAGTTTAAACAAATCATACAATCAGCACCTTGAACATATGGCCCAAAAGTTGAATAAATATATCAAAACAAATATTCGTGATTGATATGATATACTGCACCTTGAACCATACGATCAGCATAAAAATTCAAAACTCTAGTCTTGCAGATATTCATGTTGCCACCAACAAGCGACTTCGACAAAGGTCTCATGGATGGATCCTCTTTGAAATCATCATTATTGGAACCATTTGAGAGGGAGGTCAGAAGATGTTGAGCTGAAAATGTATTTGGCTTCCTGTTGGGTGGATCCTCAACCTTATTCTTTTTTCTGTTGAGTTGATACCTAAAACAAAAAATCGGACAAAAATAATTAAATGCTGTTATTGCCATATAATTGACTAACAGGTCTTTCGCCACAAAGATGATAGGATCTTAAAAATTTGACCTCGCATCTTTACAAGTTAAAGAACACTCAATGAAGGGCAAGTAATCAACATAGTAGGAAAGAAATCACATAGCTAGGCTGTAGAATCTATAGCTATCTCCTTGAATTGAAACTATTAACTGATTAAATGCTTACAACAATTAGGGAACATACATTTTTTAAAAATTCCATTTTCTATCCTGCCCTTCACTTTCTTTTGTAGGATCAGGGAGAGAGGAAAGTGCTGGTGATAAAGTACAAAGAATTTATATAAATTCAAAACTATTATGGTACTATGATGAAAAGGAAGAAAAACAGGAATTATACCTCATGGTAACAGTTTCAATTTTTGAGAATCTTTCAAGCATGCTTTGATCAGTAGAAGATGGAGTTCCGACAGAAGGACTGCCTGCATTTAGTGGAACACTTATATTACTAACGCTGGCAGGAGATCCAACACCGCTCATTGCTGAGGTCTTAGGGAGGGAATTTGACTTTCGCTTTGCAGCAACTTGAGACTGGTGTGGCCGTTGCATGGAGTCATTAGCACTGGAAGTCAAGGATGGGGTTCCAATAGCAGGAACTGAAGTCATTGCTGCCTTCTCCTTCTGTGATACCCCTAAAGCAGCAGTTGCTGCAACTGCTCCAAAGTGGGGTCCTACAGAACCATTAGAAAATTCCCCTGATTTTGATGATAATGGGGATTGAACCAAAGACACAGAAGATAATCGGGGACTTTGAACTGATTTTCTTTTTTGGAGTTGGTCATCCTTTCTTGCATCTTTCTCAATATTCTGACCAAAATTATTCCAGGATGGCTGAGAAAAATTAGATCTCATGAATGGATGCTGTGGTAATCTTTGGTGATGCCGTGATATTTGTGGGTCAAGATGGCCTGTGTCTCCTTCCACCATCTGCATATCATTCTTACTCCCACTGAGCTCTGACCCATCTAACTTACCTGTCTCAAACTGCTCTTCCTTGGCACCATATCTCATGTTTGGCTGTCCAGAAAATTGCATTGTCCCAGCATCCTGACTCGGTGCCCCTTCAAACACCTGCTGGGGAAACTTCTGAATGCCTGTATTGGAATACTGAATTCCTTTGGCCATTGTTTGCTGCTGCAACAATGTATTCTTCCAGTTCATATCTGATCCATGGAAGCTGTCTATATGTGGCCCTATTTGCTGATGTTGCATTCCATCAAGGCCAACTGGTGAGGGCCTCTGTCTTTTATTAAAATTAGATAAGTGTGACATTTGCCCATCTTGATGCTCTCTCTTTCCATGAAGAGGTACATTGGCGCTAACATTGTCAGCATATGAGATCATCGTGTCCTGCCCAACAGGCGAAGCTGATGCATTGGCAACAGTTCCTGATCCATGGTCCTGCATACTTCTTGGGGTTCCAACCCCCATATGATACCTAGATTGGGTGGGTGGTGCCGGAACAGAAGCATCGGACATAAAATTCTTAGATCGGACCATGTTATTTGGACTCAAATTTTGAGTGGTTAAATTTTCATTGATGTGGTGTGGCATCATATTGCTTGGAAGGATTCCTGAATCTCCCAACCTACAGTTGGAGCTTTCTGGAACTCTATCGATGCAAACTTTCTTCCCATGTGTCTTGCTACTAGATGTGATGGTAACTTCTGGCATCTGCCTCAACCGCTTTCTCCGGATACTGGTCAAAGCCAAATCGAGCTACAAGCACAAGGCTTGATATGGTTAAAATGCATCAGTTCATCCAAATGAAGAACATCAAATGGATCAAAACTTAATTACCTTTGTGGGAACTGGATTCTTACAGAGCCTGTCCAACTTCGGAGTTGGATCCAAGTGAAGTTGTGGCTGCAAAGCTTTCAATATTCGGGATTCCACTTCCTGCAAGTTAAAGTGAATACAAAATGTTGACATCACAACTCAACATATGACAGAGATCTATTTGGAAAGGATGGGAGACATCAAGGTACTTACCATCAGATCACCATAAGCCCAAGAATTATCTGAGATCAGTGGGATATCCTTCACTACATTTTCCAATGACATTTTAAGGCATACTTTATTTACAACAAGGGATCCTTCAGTAGGCGGACTACCGGGCCCTTGTTCAGAAATACATTTGCGATAATCACGAACCTGCAAGAAATGGCAGATAACCAATTTTTAAAGCCTAAATATAGCTAAATAATAAAAACTTCACATCTAACTGAGCATTTTGAAAGGTACATTTATAAAGTATCATAAAGGTAATCACAACCACGTCACCAATGCTTACGGAAGAAACTTGAACATCTAGAAATTAAACCTATCTTTAACATAGGCTTTTAGCCTAGTCAATTTTTAAGATTGCAACTCTACAATAAATTTATGTATAAGACAGGATTCTCCAATAACATATTCATGCATGGAACCTATTACCCCCTTTCAATAATGTAGACTCTGAGTGATAATATAAAATTAATTATGTTCCCTGATAATTGGTAAAGCTTCCTTCATCTGAGGTTGCCTAGACCAGGATACCACCCAAATGGAAAAGGAGTGAAAAAGAGAGCCTCGTAAAAGGAATATGGGATACTAATAATATTATGGTAATTGACCATTGCTAAAGATTTTTTTCATTTAGAAACAAACTGAGCTCCTACTTTATACGCATACTTAAGCATGCATACAGAAACTGCATGATACAAATATCATTTTGGGATCAGAAACAAAAATTTATATATGAAAGAACAGGATCACAAAAGGATCTGGACAAGTAATCCGCCTATGCAAGACCAACTAAAAAATGGAAAACAAGAAAAGTCCCACTCAAATAAAAGTCAATTTTCCTGAAATTTATTCGTCTCAAATAAAATTCAAATTTCCTTACTATTTAAAAAAAAATTTGTGTTCCTATCATACCACACAACCCAAATAGAAGATGACTGCTTGATACAAATATGGTTATCTCAATCTGAAAAGCTACTATTATTTGTTTATATAACAATTAACAAAAGTTGATAGGCGTACTATTCATATTTCAAAGTTCTTATTTTATAGGAACATTTCACAGTACTTGATAAAGGTAAGCTTAAGGAATAAGATAACTCGCCTCACACAGAAGTGTTCCATCAACATACTTGCAAGGTATATCATCTAGAATATCTCCAGGCAACCGGCCAGATTCAATTGCCTGCAAAATATATTTGTAAATAAGAAAGGAAGAGAAATTTAAAATCAGACAAGCTACAGTAAATATTAAATAGAAAGTAAGAACTTCCAGATAGTAATTGTGAGGCAGACGACAAGGAGTTATAGGTGGCATAAAGTGATTTATAAGCTATTTAAATTCAAATAAATAAAATGATGAAACACTTTTTGACAAAACCATTATTCTCTCTTTCGTTTTTTGTTTTTTCCGTTGTTTGGTTTTACACACTCAGTCCATGTCATCATGCTCATTGATGGGTTAAGTCTATTGATATATGGATCTAATGAGAGAAGCTCATCAACAGTCAGCTTGCTGGAGTTCACTGAACCAACAAAACAGCAAAGATTTCATATACAATTTCTCAATATAAGAGTTGTCATAATGCATGCAACTATTCGATATTCTTAACAAAAGTTGCAAATTTCTAACCCTAACTGGATGCACAAAAGATATAGGAGGAAAAGGTTAAAATGACTAGACATTTACCGAAAAAAGAGTTTCAGATGTCCTATCATACGGGTGCAACAACTTTGGAACATCTTGAAGTGTAGCTTGATGAGCATTCTCATTCTGAAAATTCATAAAATACATAAGACCTTAAAATAACAAATAAGATGTAAAAGAATCAGTTTTTCATGAATATATATATATATATATAATGTTATCCATAATTTATTTTTCTTTGTAACAAACCTCTGAGGGTTTTCCAATAGAATATCCATCTGGGAAGAGATTCAAAGTGAAGGAAACTTCATTCTCTGTCAAAACAAAAGGAAGCAAAACCAAGGTAAAACAATGAATATGCACCCAAAAAAAACGAAACAGAAAAACAAATTGTGACAAACCTGGAGATACGAGAAGCCCTTCAGAAGACACTGATGAACCAGATACCCTGGGCACACTACCACGTCTCTCAATGACATCACCCTATATGGTCAACCATTAGAGAATCTAATTTGTCAAAAAACAAAAATAGAATGCAAATTGTACATCAAACCCTCTACTCATTCTCCTTATTCAAAGGCTCTCACTCAAACTATAATCAAAATTCTGTGGTTGCACATTCCATATCAGGGTACACAAAAAGTTATGTCCGTGTATATATTGATTGCAAGAAAACATGATAAGAATATAGATTCCGTATGCATCAATCTCATTTACCACCGCAGAAAATGTAACTTACAGAAATTCAAAAGCTGTATTAGACTATTAACCAGTTAGACCAGGTATATTGATCAAAAGCGTCAACTCTCGAAATTTTCCTGCTCGTCACAAATTAAACCAAAACAACTAGAACCCACCGACAGAATGGAGTAAAACTACAAATTTCACAAGCAGAACTTTAACATATTCGTTGAGTCCACATAGCAACCCTTCAAGTCTAGTTCAAGAGTAGATTTAGCTTCAATGATCAGATCTTTTAATCATAAGACGCCACCGCAGCTAAAAACTCTAGGAAATGAATAAATTCCCCCTTAAGTAAAATACCCGTTTTGAAAATAAAGAGCTGGATCTGAAATTCTTTTAATTTCAACATCCAGCTTCCACCACCAAAAATAAAAATAAAAATATTCACTACGATTAAGCCAAATATTCAAATTAAGACTCTGTACAACGCCTGAACACACTCGTGCAAAACCCATATGTCAAAAGACCGAAGTAAACTGAAAAATTGAAAACCTCTATGTCTCTTCTTTCCTGTATATTCTGGGTAACCAAAAACAAGCCCAGTAATTAATCCTCCACTTGATTACACAGAAAAAACAAAAAGAAAAAGAAGGGCCCAGAAAACTGAAGAAGAAAATAAGTTCAATTTTGCTTATATACATATGCACACAAACACACAGAACCAGACCCAGATTTTCGATTACTTTTCTCGCATTGCCTCGCTCATTTTCCCACGTTTTATCAGCAACCAAATAGAGAGAAATTGGCCAATCTCAAAATTTTACCTCGAGCATTCGAGGATTGGATTCATTCCTGGGGGCAGCTCGGGAGCTGCTTCTGGAAGTATCGGACACGTCATCGTCAACAACGCTGGTCTCGGATTGCAGAGGAGGCTTGGGACGGAACCTGGTACCGGTCTTTGAGACCTTAAACGAAACACCCATGATGAGATTTTATTGAATTTTCTCAGAATTTGAATTTGAGGTCGCTGCGGAGGAGAGTTTGGATCATGGGAAAGAAGTTGGACAATAATTTTATTAATTTTATTAACAACAAAAAAAAATTTTCTCAGAATTTGAATTTGAGGTCGCTGCGGAGGAGAGTTTGGATCATGGGAAAGAAGTTGGACAATAATTTTATTAATTTTATTAACAAAAAAAAAAAAGGAAAAGAAGAAGAGAAGCAAAAACCCTAAAGAAAAATTGTGTCTTTTTCAGTTAGTTTTGAATTCATGAGAGAGTTAACAGAAAATTGAGAAGAAAGAGAGACGCGGGGTAGTTGTGAAGCTCGTTGAAGAAGGTGTTTTCTGTTTGTGTTGTCTTCTTCTTGTGAGTCTAATATGATTTTTATATGGGAAATTCTAATAAAATTTGCTCTTTACACCCCATAATTTATGTACATCCCACTAAATTTTAATAAAATTTCCTAAATTGTCCTCATGAACCCCATTCTCTAACTCATTGTGTAAACCTCATCCCATATCAGACACTACCCATCGAAAACCCCCTTCCCTTTCATACACACCTCATCTGATATCAAACCCCACCCCATCCCATATCAAGCCACACCCCATTGAAAATTCCCTCCTCTTGTAGACACATCTCATCACACACCCCATCAAATTTACAACAAGCTCCACCGCACAACTCATCCCCTTTGAAACAGAGCCATCGCAGAACCTATCTCTGCAAACCGCCGAACCCCATTGCATAACCCATCTCTACAAACCTGAACCCATCGCACAACCCATCACTGAAACAGAGCCATCACACCCCACAGCCAACCCCAAACGCCTAACCCTGTCGCAAACCACCATCGCTCCAGTCATCTCAAACATCCATCACCAATCTGTCAAGTTTTCACAAATCCTTCGAAGAGCCAAGGTATGATTTCAATTTTGATTTCTATATTTCCGTTTCTAAGTGTTGATTAAGCATAGGTTTGATTTCACTTTTGAAAAGCCAAAGTCTGATTTTAATTTTTGATTTCAACTTTGTGGGTGTGGTTGGTTCGAACCTAGTTTTACGAAACTGAATTTTAGTTTCGGTTAATTGCCACCGAATTTGTTACATTGCTTTAATGGCAGTCCACCAAATTTGAACCGGATTTGTACTATGATTAATTTTACTTTCGGTGGGTTATCACCAAAATCATTACCTTGTTTCGGTGGTAGTCCACCAAATTTGGTTCTATTTTTCAGGAGATGTCCACCAACTGAATTTATGTTTTTCAGTGGTAATCCACCGAATATGTTTTCTTTTTTCAGTGATAGTCCACCGAATTTGTTTCCTTTTTTCAGTGATCATCTATCGAATCCGTTACTGAGTGTGTACTTAATATTGTTTTTTTATATATGAAGAGGACTCGCAGAGGTACTACTGAGGCTTCATCATCTTGACCTGATAGACAGCGTTTCATAGCCTCAACGAGGAGACAGAGAGCGGCTCCCCAAGATCACTTTGAGGATACTACAGAGGTTGAAGATGTAGCTCCTACTCATGATAATAATGTTGATGCAAAGGTTGAAGATGTAGTTGCTACTCATAATAGTAATGTTGAGGTACATGCTGAGCCATCTCGAATAGGTCCCGTTGATCCATCTTTACTTACGAGTTTTAAAACTCACATAGCAGCTGCATACAAGTGTCTGTCCATGTGGCCACAAACCTATTATTAAATGGATTTAACTAATTGTCATGTACATTCAAGAGCTTTTTGAAATTCACTGAACTTAGACTCAATCTGTCGCAAACAACACTAATATTCCTCTTCCGTTTTTAAACCAACCAAAGTATTCCAATCCTCATTAAATGCTTCCATTGTTTGAGGGTCCCAAATAACTTCTTGCAGTTTGCCAACACTCCTTTGTTAATATGTCATCTACATAATAAATGTCGTGCTTTCGGAAATATAGACATAATAGAATTCATGAGTGTTAACTCTCGATCGGTGACAATAACACCAGGAAGACAATTATCATCCAACAAACACCTCAATGCAGTCAAAGCCCATGTGTAATTGTCTTCCTTCTCGGCATTCATATAGACATACGCAACAGAGAATGTCATATTAGTAGATATCACCCCCACAATTTGCAATAGTGGGAAACGATACATATTAGTCTTATAGGTGCAATCCATGATAAGTACATGTGGAAATGCACGCAAAATCTCAATATTATTGGGGTGTGTCCAAAACAAGTCAGTTACAATATCACCAGATGTCCTATGCCACTGAATATAATTGTGTTCAGGTAACTTAGTAAGCAATTGTTGCATTTGGATTCTCCCAGCAAATTCTTTGGTTCTATTTCGGATCCTAGCATTGTATATTGTCTTCACAGTTGAAACATTCATTGCATCTCTATCCTTCAGGGTGACCAAAATATCTCTAGGTTTCACCAAACTCTTAGATATGTCCACCAATAAGGCATTCTCTTCTTGAGAAAGTCGCGCCCACAAATGAATGACCTTGAAGATACTCTTAAATATGATGGTTGTGTACTCCACAAACCACTTCCAACTTCCATTCATCCACATCACCTTTTGACAAGAATGGGCATCCACATTTCTTGGTATCAGTGTCTCTAGCACATTTTTTTCATATCACTATTTGCATCCGACCTTATATTAGTTGTCTCACTAGATTTGCAAGACTTATAGTTATCGCTCATCTCACAAGCAAGTATTACTCGAGGTCTTCTCTTGCCCCCACCTCCATAATCAGACCTTTTAATTACAATGACAATATTATTCATTTTTCCTTGTGCACGAGCCTATTTAAGTAATGCATCTCTATCATTGAATATATACACATAAAACTCATGTTATTTAAAGAGAAAATTTGAAACATTAATGTCGCATTAATGATACTAAAAATGATTTCAGACAAAAAAAAACTCAAAATAATTACCGAATAAGTTGTGAATTGATCGCTATAATCCATTACATATTCTGTTCCCACATTGTTGCCTTCAGTAGGGACGCCACCTTGTTTTTGTTCCCTCAATGGGAAAAAGATCAAAATAGCTTGCATTAAATTTGTGGTTGATAATAAGTTATTGAAAAAATAAATACATTTCGGTTTGTTTCCACTGAAACATAGGTAAAATTTCGGTAATAAACAACTGAACAACGTTCCATATTACGGTGGATCTCCACCGAATATTAAGTTCATGATCAGTCAAACACGACCGAAATAGGTGCAACGTTTCGGTGGCATCCCACCGAATTTACCTATCGCGTTCTGTACTAATGTGTTGAACGCAACTAGCGACCAACCCTAAACTCTAAACTTGCAAAATGCCAAAAAATAAACTCATATCTCATTCGAAGCCTCTCTAACTTCAATCTCACCCTTCATGAATAAATACAAGATATTCTTTCGCCAATATAAACATATAAATCTTGTTAGAGTTGTAGGAACATGATGGTTTGAGAAAAAAAGTCAAACTAGGGTTGCATGAACATATGTGGGGTGTAGTAAGCAATTTTATTTTTATTTTTTAATTTTTTTGTCCTTAACGGTAATTATGTACAAGGGTAAAATAGGTTATTCATGTTTAAAGAGCAAATAATGGGATGCCAATAGAATCTCCCTTTTTATATGATTAGCATTCGGGGAGTCATTGGCTGCGCTGCTTAGTAGTTGCCTATATGTGTTTTATATACTGATTTGGATTAAGCAAATTCTATTTTCATCCTTGTTTTTCCCAACACATTAATTTTTCTGTCATATTTTTTTTATCAGAATTTGTTTTTCACATGTATCACTTTTTTTTTAGCATACATACTTGTGACATAAATTTAAAAACAATGTTGTTATTGTACATATATTATATTTTCCCATCCACTTTTTAATAAAAATCTTAATGAAAAATTTATATTTTCATAAAACTAAAAGTATAGTGATTTGCCCCCTGAACTTGTACTTAACTTTCAATTAACCCCCTATACTCCTAACTTTCAATTAACTCTCTCTCTCTCTCTCTCTCCAGGTTAGCTCTGAGTCGACATCCTCACTCCCCTTCATCCAGAAGTTTCGAGGCAAGACCATTGTCATCAATTATGGCGCCACCGCCAAATCCCAATCCCTCCAGGCCTCCGTCGTCAATGGCATCATCCTCCTCTCCCGTGTTGGGCTCAAGACCGTCCTCGTCTACGGCGATGGGCTCGAGATCAACCACTAGCTCAAGTACCTCAACATCAAGGTCACCCTCCACGATGGCCTTTGAGTCACCGACGCCGCAATAATGGATAGAGAGAAGGGCGGTTACAACCTCTTTTCCGGGTCGAGCTCAGCATTCCTCTGGAACTCAATGTACCCAATCACCAAAACCTCGAGATGCGGATAATGCGGGAGTGGTGCCACCCGTGGAGGCGATTGCCTGTGTCTGCACTGGCAGCCCTCTTGAGGTCTAGGCACAATGGGTCTTGATCTTCACCAAATTGAAAACACTTTCAAGTTGTTTTAAAAAATAAGGGTGATTTGAAAACTAAATTTCACTTTTTTGAAAACTGAAAACAAAATTTGTTACCAAAAAGAGTGATCATGAAAACTGAAAACTGAAAACGAAATTGTCCCTGAAATTTATTGAGTTCAGGAATTGCTCAATACAATGGACTAATATCAATCAGATTATGTTTAACCACAATAAAATACTAACAATCTCATCGATACTTCTTAATATTCGATACAATATTTGTTCTTTCAACCCCAAAAAAAAAATTATACTATGTTTTTTTGATATTTTCATTTAGTAATTTGGTTCGATATCAATCTATTATCAATGTTTCTACTTTCTATATTTTCCATCAACGTCAATATGCTAACCAAAATAATTAAGTCGAGAAAGCAAAGATCTTCATCATATGTAGTATACCATTTTACAACTCTATAAACCTTGCAGTTGGCACCAGAGACCCACCTTGTCATGCTCATGACCAACAACAGTCAAGTCAAGAAGAAAGCTCCTCTTCAAGCTCCATTTGCCTTATGGAGTATTCCCTCTCAACCAATAAAAATTCCTACACATGAGACAGCCGTTCAATTAATCAGCTCATATCAATCGACAACGGCTTCAAAAGAGCAAGTAAACTAGGGAGAGCTTCACAGAAGCTCTTCAATGGTTATCCGTCGAAACTTTGACAGTGAGATATTTAATTTACACTACAAAAGTGACTGCCCCTAGGATATATGCATTTTCATCTGATTGTTTAAAAGTGGAGACTGCTCAATAGACAAAGAAGAAATATGGTTAAAGCATCAAGTTATAAATTGTCTACCCTGTAAACAAATGCCAAGTACACATTAGCTTACCTGCAATTGTTGGTGACTAAACAAATGAAGAACCCCAGCCTCGGACGAAGCAACTAAGTCAATCAACTGATCATGACCTTCAGGTGGCATACCCAACTCTATAAGCGAAAGAGAGACCTGCATATAGTGACATGCATTACACCATGAAAGGGGAGCACAGTTTTTTTGTTATTATATAAAATGATTTAAACAGAGACTTCAATCGGGGCTACCAGGGAAGAAGGTTACCTCCATGCACCGAAGAATGACTTCTGGAATACAGCACCTACGACAAAGGCCCTGCACAATGTATGTTGCTGGGCTCTCTAAGGAACCACCTTTGCTCGAATACCAGGCATCTAATCGGGAAATCTCCATTGTGACTCCAGATTGAAATCGAAGCAGCTCACCTGCAATGACAATTAATCAGTTTAATCACCACTTCTGCTATTTTTTAAATATAGCATTTGGAGAGTACATTCTATTCCCTTCATAACCCTGTTTTAGTTTCACATTGTTACTTTTCTTTGTAAAGAAATTTTGTTACCAGTTGATTAGATTTTATTCAGTTTTGATTATATAGCAGCACGACTGTACTTTGATCAACTGATCAAGATTGGGTTAGGTTGAACATAGAGAACGGAATGCACCCAAAAGAAAAACAATCCATTTTATTTCAATATAACCTTCGCTTTTTCTTGAAATTCCAATATAACAATTAGTTCCTGAACAAGTGTAGCCGACATGCAAGGCAATATAGAACTGCAGTATCAATAATATTGCTTACCTTTGAAGCCAGCAGCCATAACAGTACTAAGAATACCACCATCATTGTGCTCCTGTTGCCCAAGACCATCACCTGCAACTGCCAAGCAGCGAAGCACAACCTCTACGCAGTAATTGTCCTTTGAGGATATGGAGACATTTATCTACGGAAAAAGAAAATTCCTATTTGTAAGGAAAATAAAAATTAAGAAACAGAGGCATTAATGCATAAAAAATTACGTAGGCCTAGCCAATATTCTGGACAGCATAAGTCTCTATTATTGTTCTTGCCATTGAGATCCCACACCAAGAGGAATTTGGATTCTTAGTTTTGAAAACATGTCAATCCACATTTACTTTACCCTTTCTTCCCATCGGTTTCCGCAAACAAATAAACATACCATTAGTTGCCGATTTAACACATCTTGCTCGCTTACTGAAGAGTAAAGAGCACTCATTAAAGTGGTGCACACAGTTGCATCTGG